GTGTTAAAGCGTAAGATTAGAGAGTCTATAGAAATCAACGAAACGGCAAGCGTCCTGAATAGAACGAACGAGTGTAGAAAATTAAGTAGCAACTATTTGTGGCTGCTAAATAGAATTAAGGAGAGAGAGCGAGAGAGGGTGCAAGAAGAACCATTGAGCAAGAGAAAGAGGCTGAACTATCCTCGAGTCTAGCTAGGACTATTACAGTTCCCATGATCTAAACATTACATACACACAATAGACAATAGCAAAAGCCCAGAAATGAATCATGATTTGATGATCGTACACTAGTTTATTTGTAACTCATTTTCAAACATGTAGAGTAAATTTGGAATAGCTAGCCAAATCACGTGATGCTTCATTAAGATGGCGAAGTTGGGCGTATAAAAACGACTAGGATTGCAGCCAGCCACATTTTTTTTGGTTTAGTATATTTTTTCTCTATTTCGTGAAGTATGAATACTTGTTCTGATGATGTCTATCACGTAACATACGAAAGCTTAGCACAGTTTCATCGGGTTCGGAGGACGGTAAGTCAAGCATTTCTTTGCACAATTCAACAGTCTTTCGTACTCGGCAATCCTTATCCGATTTCCGGTAAGACCACATCAAGAATTCCTTCCAGTCACCTTTTCCTTCGAAATAGGAAGTTGTGCAACACTATTTATGGTATACCTTAACGAAAATAAGCAGTATCGGGTTCTGTGTTTATAAACTTATTTATCCATAGTGTTTGTTCGACCTGGTTTTCGCACCTTCGTCGGGACGTCAGGGAGACCTAGTACCGTGTCCTCTGCCATAGTATTGGTGATTTTTAGCATTAGGCCATAAACTAGGTATGTTATCAAACGTTTCGCCGGCATCGTCAATGCGGCATCGTAAGCACAAAGTTACAACTTATCAGAATGGCAAGGTGATAAGTTGTAACTCTGTGCTTACGATGCCGCATTGACGATGCCGGCGATACGTTTGTGAACATACCTAGCCAATGGTCCAATTCTGAAAATCACGAATACTATGGCAGAGGATACGATACTAGGTACATTCCACAAGATCTCCGTGACTCTATGACCTAGTTGCGAAAACAAGGCCGAACCAGCAATATAAAGCTAAACGGACTGCAACCAAACAGAAGGCCACACCATCTTGGTCTTCATATCTATTTTCTTCATCCATCTTACCGCTAACTAATTTGCATTTTGAGTATTAAGTTCACAGCAGAAAGGCTCCTTTCGCCAGTTATTTTATTTAGTAGCACCAAGATACAGCATTTTTCCTACCCCCATAGGAAATGTTAAAAATATTTTTCTTATGTAAGTAGAGTTTCTCATATTACTAATATTAAAAATAGACACAGATGCAGAGTAGACAGCACCAGACGTTCTGAATAACCGATCCATACAGAAGAAATTATCATAGAACGAAACCGCTTGTAAAGTTCTATGGGTCCAAACATCTCAACTCGCTGCCCACATTTCTAATACAGGAGACTCAATGTACTGTCGCAGAACACAATGGATTCTTGCTATGATAATTTCACAATACAAACGCAATCTTAGCACAGGTTCTTTGGGTTCGCAGCTCGGTGAGCCATGGGCTTGTTGATTCATTTAAGTAATCTTCACTCCTTCTTTGATTTCCGTTGAGTCTAACCAACTTTTTCTTCTAAATTAAAAGTCAATTGATAATAAATCACTAAGGGAGTCTTAGAGACCCAGTTTTTCATGATATCTGCAGTAACTTTGGTCTACCATGAATAAACTAGGCAACGGCCGAAGAAAGGCTAATCTTTGTTTAGTTCAAGGCTTAATAACTTCTGTTATCTGACCTACCTCGTCTTTAAGCAGCTTTAAACACGGCATATTTCCTTAACTATTCCACTACTCTCAACCAAAATTCGTCTTGCATTATCCTTTTCTGATTTGGCTCTTAATAACCTTTGTAATTATCGCTTGATTAATGGGAATAAAACAATAATTTTGGTCGATACGTGTGCCCTGCGTGTAGGCCCAGCTATAATACAGACAGGAAGTGAACTTAATTTTTATTTTAGTACAATTATAGCCCTAGTGTTTTGGGGACGAGACGGAAACATCCATCATATACACTGATGTAATGGGGTCGGGCGGTAAAGGGGAAAAGAGGAGGTTAGAGGAAGTAAAGTATAATGCTTGAATTAGTGGAGATAGGAATAAAATTGTCGACTGTTACACGATCTTTTATAGAATGTCTAGTCTAAGACCCTTGCGTGTCTGTAGATGTGCTCGTGAGCCATGGTAGTTGCCTTGCGGTCATAGATGAAAAGTATGGTAGTGAAACATATATGTGCATATAAATGTGCATTCCTGCTTGTGTGTATGGTGAATCAATTGCCGTTTGAGCTGAAGAATGAGCCGATGCCTTGTTCACATTTTGAAGAGCGATGAATCACGTTTTAAAAACTCGTTCACGCGGAAAACAACGAACTTGTAGTCTTTTTTCGCCCAATCGGCCCACCCTCCTTATTTAGTCTGCATCGTTCTCATTTCGTCTCTATCCTATCATATAGGTTCTAATTTGTTTTAATTTCCTCTCAATATTCAATCAAAATTACTTTGGCGCAGTTTAGTGTCGTTGCCTTAACTAGTAACGGAAATTCGTTGTGATACCGTCTGGTGCAATATGAATTTTCTCTTTAAAATGGAATACGAAAATAGCTAAATTAACTTGTTTCCTTAATTTATCAGCTCAATGTTCCGAGCCAACCGAAATATCACGAATTATAACTTGATCAGGGTATGAAGACCAATATTTTGTGAACTATTGTTTACTATAGTCCTCTGACTGACCTTATCTGGACACTTAGCCAGGTTGAGACTGAGTTCTATCCGCACACACCTCACAGTGTTTGCTCTATTAGTATAATAATTGGTTTTCATTGTATTAATAAAATTATACTTAATAAAATGAATGAAGCTTCTTACATATTAGACTAATTCATATACCGGACGAGCAAATTGCTGCGTTAAAAAAGCATACAGTTTGTGGTACATTCTTCAAAATATTCCTAGAAAGATAGCTAATGTGGAAATTAGGGGACAAACAAAGCATAAGTGGAATTTAGGCTTAGCAACATATCTTCAAATGCACTTCATACCTTGATACTTTTATGAATGCCAAGATGGTGTTGCCTCTATTTTTGTCACAGTCTCCGTTCCTTGTATGGAAGTGGTCTAATCTCGTTTTTGAAACTTGGTCGTGTTGTGAGGGTGACATAGTTGGACGCATCTTGCCCAAAGTCCTCTTCTACAGTAGCTATGATAAGTCCCAGCGTTAGGTAGTGGACTTGTACAAGCCTTTTTGACTAATCATAGTTTGGTGCTGAGAATGGTAAGAAGTACTGACGATACCGATGAAACGTCTTGGAATGTACTAAGTCCACGGTCCGATGCTGACAATTCTCGTAACTACTGTAGTAGATGAGTAGGTGCGTCCAACTGCGTCTCCCTGAAAGCACGGCCAAGTTGCGAAAACGATGCTGGACATTTTACATGTTTAGTTATTCCAACGTATTAGCATTTTTAACTTTGGTAGCAGACAAATGTATACACATTATTTAAATCAACTTTGTTGGTCTTGTGTAGGCAAACTTACCTTGCTCAAGCAACTTTAATTGCTTTAATGTGAAGGCTGTTCTATTCCTCTGGCCTTTCTTGCTATCCATGGCAGAGTTTGAAGAAGCGAGTGATTCTTCCATCTGAATATTCTGCTTTTTATGATTAAATTGTCTTGATTCGGACATTGCTCGCCTGTATGCTCCTACCATACTTCCTCTGTACTTCATTGGCTGTACTCTAGTGCCAAGATTGGGATCTTCCTCCGTAACTGCGATCTCTTTTTGCTTAAGGCTGGACTGTTCCTGCAAGGAACCTTGATCAGGCGACGCAACGGCCTGGTCGGTGATCGAGTTGTTGTCAAAACAGAGGCTGGATTGGTAGACACTCAGAGGACAGCTAGACATCGAACCCGCCTCGCATGGATCGTCTTCCTCATCTTCCTCCCTCTCCTCATCATCTTCCTGATCGTCATCGCCTTGGATTTCTTCCTCATCTTCATATTGTAGCCGCAGTCTATCGTCTTTACGCTCCACAAGATTTACCTCTTCGTTGGTCCCTAGTCCATAATGAACTTTGTTTGATACTATATTCAGTTTTTCTTTTCCCCTGTCAGTAATTTCTGCCTTCCTTTTCTGTAAATCTGCTACTTTTGTTTGGAAGTCGTTCTGTTTAATTTCGTATTTATTATGCACAAGACCCAAAGCATGCAGCCAAGACTGATCATCTACTTGAGATGTATGCTTTGCAGACATTGGAGCCGAAACCTTGTCAGGTAGCTCTTCTCTATTTGGCTGAGATTGACCAATTGTTATAAACTCGGAGTCTGCACCAACCGCGCTCATAAATGCATCAGAAGCGAGGGAAGAGCCATCACATTTATTTTTTGAACTATTCCGCTCACAAGATTTGCTGGTACATTGCCGAGGCGAAAAACTCGAGGAAAAATTTGTCAGCCCTTGGCGTATGGCACATGTTTCTGGTAACAACGGATAAGGAAGGTAGAACAGGGGGATATTTATCTGGTTATCATGAATGTTATCATCTCAACCAGGTTTAGGTTGAGTTTGCTCGTCTGATAGTTCGATCAAAATAGAATAAACATAAAAGTTTGAGACCAATATTCTTCAGTCACCCTAGGTTGTTTGAGGAGATATAAGGGACGATGTTGAATTTCCCATGATGAATCTAGTAAATTACAATTTCCTTAAATTTTATCTAGCCTTGCCTCCCTAAAGTTTATCATTCAAGTTAACTTCTGTTTCGACTTTGCCTAGACTTCATCATCGCACAATTGCAATGAAATTTCCTAGTAAAATGTATGAATTCTGAAGAACAAATGGCATACACGAAGTTTACAAATCGTCATTCTCTGCGATAAAAATTGATTTTTTGCATGTTTTGGGGACTATCTATTTTTATATTAGTAGGTATAGCAATCAAGAAGTGATTCCTGAATCATGGGCCGGCGCTTGTTTGTAAACTTTAATCATTGTGAGAAGCCAAAACTATCACATCTTATCAGGAGATTATGAGT